TTGTTGAAGATGCTGTCTTTGCCCCATTGTATCATTTTAGCTGTTTTGTCGAAAATCAGGTGTTCATAGGTGCATGGATTAATATCAGGATTTTCAATTCGATTCCATTGGTCTACCTGTCTATTTTTATGCCAATACCAGGCTGTTTTCAGAACTATAGCTCTGTAGTAGAGCTTAAAGTCAGGAATGGTGATGCCTCCTGATGTTCTTTTATTGTATAGGGTTGTTTTGGCTATCCTGGGTCTTTTGTTTTTCCATATAAAGTTAATTATTATCCTTTCAAGGTCGGTGAAGAATTGTGGTGGGATTTTAATGGGGATTGCATTGAATCTGTAGATTGCTTTTGGTAAGATTGCCATTTTTACTATGTTTATCCTACCTATCCAAGAGCATGGGAGGTCTTTCCATTTTCTGGTATCTTCTTTAATTTCTTTCTTTAGAGTCACAAAGTTCTTATTATATAGATCTTTTACTTGTTTGGTAAGCGTTACACCAAGATACTTTATGTTGCTTGTGGCTATTGTAAAGGGTGATGTTTCTCTGATTTCTTTCTCTGCCTCTTTGTCGTCTGAAAAAAATAGGGCTACTGATTTTTTTGAGTTTATCTTGTATCCTGCTAGTTTGCTGAAGGTGTTTATCAGCTGTAGGAGTTCCCTGGTAGAGTTTATTGGGTCGCTTATGTAAACTATCATATCATCTGCAAATAGAGACAGTTTGACTTCTTCCTTTCCAATTTGGATGCCCTTGATCTCCTTTTGTTGTCTTATAGCATTAGCTAGAACTTCTAGTACGATATTGAAGAGATATGGAGAGAGAGGACAGCCTTGTCTTGTTCCTGATTTTAGAGGAATTGGCTTAAGTTTCTCTCCATTCAGTTTGATGTTGGCAGTTGGTTTGCTGTATATTGCTCTTATTATGTTTAGGTATGTTCCTGTTATCCCTGACCTCTCTAATACCTTTATCATGAAAGGGTGTTGAATTTTATCGAAGGCTTTTTCTGCATCTAGGGAGATAATCATATGGTTTTTCTTTTTCAGTTTGTTTATATGGTGGATCACGTTGATAGATTTTCGTATGTTAAACCATCCCTGCAATCCAGGTATGAAGCCTACTTGATCATGGTGGATGATTTCTCTGATGTATTTTTGAATTCGGTTTGCCATTATTTTATTGAGTATTTTTGCATCGATGTTCATCAGGGATATTGGTCTGTAGTTTTCTTTCTTAGTTGTGTCTTTGTGAGGTTTGGGTACCAAAGTTATTGTGGCCTCATAAAAAGAGATTGGCAATAAACCTTCTGTTTCTATCTTGTGGAACAGTTTGAGGAGTAGTGGTATTAGTTCTTCCTTGAATGTCTGGTAGAATTCTGCACTGAATCCATCTGGCCCTGGACTTTTTTTCGTTGGAAGGCTTTCGATGACTGCTTCTATTTCATTTCGGGTTATAGGTCTATTTAAGTTGTTTGTCTGTTCTTGATTTAATTTTGGTAAGTGATAGTTATCCAGAAACTTGTCCATTTCCTTTGAATTTTCAATTTTTGTGGAATACAGATTTTCGAAGTATGACCTGAAAATTGTCTGGATTTCCCTCTGTGTCTGTTGTTATGTTCCCCATTTCATTTCTGATTTTGTTAATTTGCATGTTCTGTCTCTGCTTTTTCGTTAATTTGGATAAAGGTTTATCAATCTTGTTGATTTTCTCAAAAAACCAACTCTTTGTTGCATTGATTTTTTGTATTGTTTTCCTGGTTTCTATTTTGTTGATTTCAGCCCTCAAGTTGATTATTTCCTGGCGTCTGCTCCTGCGGGGTGAATTCGCTTCTCTCTGTTCTAAGGTTTTCAGTTGCGCTGTTAATTCATTTATGTGACTATCCTCTGTTTTCTTCATATGGGCACTTAGTGCAATGAACTTCCCTCGTAGCACTGCTTTCAAGGTGTCCCATAAGTTCGGGTATGTTGTATCCTCATTCTCGTTGAATATTAGAAAGTCTTTAATTTCTTTCTTTATTTCTTCTTTGACCCAGGAGTGGTGCAATTGCACATTGTTCAGTTTCCATGAGTTTGCAGGTTTTCTGCTATTTGTATTGTTGTTGAATTCCAATTTTAAAGCATGGTGGTCCGATAAGATACAGGGGACTATTTCTATTCTCTTGTATCTGTTGAGGTTTGTTATGTCTCCTAGTATGTGGTCGATTTTAGAGAAGGTTCCATGTGGAGCAGAGAAGAAGGTATATTCTTTTGTCTTTGGATGGAATGTTCTATAGATGTCTGTTAGCCCCAGTTGAGACATAACTTCTGTTAATTCTTTTGTTTCTTTGTTGAGTTTCTGATTTGTGGTCCTGTCTAGTGTTGAGAGTGGTGTATTGAAGTCTCCCACTATAAGTGTGTGAGGTTTTATATGAGCTTTGAGTTTTAGTAGTGTTTCTTTTACGAATGTGGGTGGCTTTGTATTAGGGGCATAGATGTTCAGAATTGAGACTTTGTGTTGATGGATTTCTCCTGAGATGAATATGAAATGACCATCTTCATCTCTTTTGACTAGTTTTGGTTTGAAGTCTAGCTTGTTAGATATTAGGATAGCTACGCCTGCTTGCTTCTTATTTCCATTTGATTGGAAAATCTTTTCCCAACCCTTTACCCTGAGGTAATGTCTATCTTTGGAGCTAAGATGTGTTTCTTGTATGCAGCAGAAGGATGGATTCTGTCTTCGTATCCATTCTGTTAATCTGTGTCTTTTTATAGGTGAGTTAAGACCATTAATGTTGAGGGTGAGTAAGGACCATTGATTGTTGATGGTTGTTTGATTTAGGTTTGTTGTTGGCAGTGGTATTGTGAATATATTTGTTCTGCTTCACCCTAGGTTTCTGGTGTAGTTGGATTATCTGTTGCCTACATTTTTGTGGGCGTAGTTACCTTCCTTGGGTTGGAATTTTCCTTCCAATACTGTCTGTAGGGCTGGATTTGTAGATACATATTGGGAAAATCTGGTTTTGTCATTGAATATCTTGTTCTCTCCATCTATATTGACTGAGAGTTTTGCTGGATATAGTAGCCTAGGCTGGCATCCGTGTTCTCTTAATACTTTTAGAACATCTATCCAGGACCTTCTGGCCTTGAGGGTTTCCATGGAGAAGTCAGGTGTAATTTTGATAGGTCTGCCTTTATATGTTACCTGTCCTTTTTCCTTCGCTGCTCTTAATATTTTTTTCTTTATTCTGTATGCTAGGTGTTTTGATTATTATATGTCGAGGGGTCTTTTTTCTTTGGTCCAGCCTATTTGGGGTTCGGTATGCTTCTTGTACTTTCATGGGCATGTCCTTCTTCAGATTTGGAAAGTTTTCCTCGATGATTTTGTTGAATATGTTTTCAGCACCTTTGAGCTGGGCTTCCTCACCTTCCTCTATGCCTATTATTCTTAGGTTTGGCCTTTTCATGGTGTCCCACATTTCCTGGATATTGTGTGTTAAGGATTTGTTGGATTTATGGTTTTCTTTGGTCGATGAATCTATTTCTTCTAGTTTATCTTCTGCGCCTGAGATTCTCTCTTCCATCTCTTGAATTCTATTGGTTATGCTTGTGTCCGTGGTTTCCGATTTTTTGCCCAGCTTTTCAATTTCCAGCTTTCCTTCCATTTGTGTTGCCTTTATTTTCTCAATTTCGGTTTTCAAATCTTGAACCGTTTCCTTCACCTGGTTAATTGTTTTTTCTTGGCTTTCTGTACTTTCCTTAAGGAATTTGTTCATTTCTTCCACTTTTTTGTTTGTTTTTTCCTCTATTTCTTTAAGGGATTTTCTCATATCTTCTTTGAGGGCCTCTATCATTTTTATGATGGTGATTTTTAAGTCATACCCTTCTGCTTCCTCTGCTTTGTTGTTGTGTTCCATTCTAGTTGGTGTAGATTCCCTAGATTCTGGTGGTGTCATGTTTGTCTTTCTGTTGTTAGGTGTTCTCTTGTATTGCCTTCTTCCCATAGTTTCTTCCTGTAGGTGTTGGTGGTGTCTCTTCCCTCTCTCTATGGTCCTTCCCAGATGGGCTTAGGTGGATCAAAGATTCAATGTCTGTATCTCTGTGTGGTCCAAGCTCTCTAGGAGGCTTCTCTCTGGCCAATAGCCGGGAGAAGAGGACGAGGGCTGGACTGGAACTTGAGAAGGTTTTGCAGGGTAGTGGGATCTCACTGGAAACTGGCGCTCTCCAGCTGAGACCTCGTTCTTTGGCAGGGCCCGGATTTGGGGGTCAAGGATCTTGCCTGCAGGAACTCCAAGTGGACCCGCAGAGATAGGCGGATCTCTGGGAGGGGCCTGGGACTCCAGCAGAGGACTGGAGGCGGGGTCAGGGACCAAGCCGGTGGAAATTACAGGTGGTCCCACGTGGATAGTCAGGTCTCCTTTGTTCGGAGTTGCTCCGAGAGGTCTCCGAAGTAGGGTGGACTGTTGGCTCCACCCTCTGTCCCAGTGCTCAACCAGAGCGGCAGGACCGTAGGTGGGGTAGGGCACAGGGTGGGGGGGGGTAGGCTGGAGGTTGGGATGGGTGGGGGGTGTATCAGAGCTCCAAGGGTGCTCTCAAAGGGGACCGGAGACAGGAGCAGCAGGATCAGGGGCCAATCCAGGGAGTTCAGGCGGGGGAGGGGGGTAAAGAGGTTGAAGGGGACAGGCAGCCCCGATTGGGCCCAGACTCACCTCTGGCCAATAGCCGGCAGAAGAGCGAGTTGTAGGCTTTTCATTAAATATATTATAGGCGTTAAACATTTTTCTATGAATTATCAGACTTTAAAATTTTAACATAAAATAATCACTTTATGCTAAAATTTTTACTTTAGCAAAAAAAGAAAAAAGCAGAGACAATATTGCTCTTGACCAGTTTGACCAAGGTAGAAATCTCCAGTAGACACCTAAAGAAATCATTAGCCAGAAAAAAGAGAAAGTCTTGTCTCCTTTTGGAGCTCATTAAAAAAAAAAAAAAACCGAAGGTAGTAAAACCCCAGATCTTTCTGTCAATCCACAGATGCTGAGTGAAGAGGACAGCACCAATAGAAAAGGCAGTGCCCATGGACATATAACAGCATCTGTGTATCCTGAGCTCTCGGGGGACAAAGGAGCAGAGAATGTAGAGAATGCCCTCCTTAACCTGCTGGACCCGGAGAGACAAGGTGCTGTTCTTGCCAGAAGTGTCATGCAGTCTATGAAGAGACCGGTGACTGGGATTGGACTATCAGGGGACAAAAACAAAGAGAAGAAACCCAAGGTTGTCCCAAGCATGACTCCAGCAGATTTCAGTGATGCAAAAGACCACTTAAAAGATGAAAAGAATCAAGAGAGGTATCTACCATGCCAGAATAGCCCAGTAAAAAGCAAAAGTTCCCATCAGATCCGACGAAGCACTCACTACCTAACATATCTCCCCCAAGTCAGAACGATCCCCAGTGACTTTGAAGGCAGTGGTTCCCCAGACACTCAAGTGAGGGGGGATAACGAGGTCCCTCCTTACAGTGGGGACGGGCAACATTTCATGTATGTTCCTGGCAAAGGAGGTGCTGTTGGGCCTGGTCTAGACGACTCAGCTAGTCATATGGGCCTCTCGGGCTCTGACAAAGCTGAGATTGTTAACCCACACATGAGTGGACTGGGTTCTAATGAGATCCCCGAGAGAGAAAGACATGGCGGCGATGTCGGTGCAACCAGAGACAAAACCGCACAACGGGCAGGTGCTGCCGGTGAGAGCCTTGTGGAGGGCAGCAATGACATCACAGGCAGTACTAGTTTTAGGGAACTCCCCGGGAAGGAAGGAAACAGAATTGATGCAGGCAGCCAAAACGCTCATCAAGGGAAATTAGAATTTCACTATCCACAAGTTCCCTCCAGAGAGAAGCTAAAAGGGGGCTGCAGTGATAACTCAGGGAGCGCCAGTTACAATGAGATTCCAAAGCGCAGCAAAGGTAGGTCTAGGACAGACACAGAAGAATCCTATAGGAACCAAGTGACCCTGACTGATAAACAAAGATTTTCAAGTAAAGGCAAAAGCCAGAGCCTTGTTCTTCCTTCTCACAGTCTAGGTAATGAGGTTAAAAGCAAAGGAGACTCCTCTAATGATCTCAGTCATGCGAGGATTACAATGACTAACAGCAGGAAAAGCCTCCATGAACATCATGCACTCGATGAACAAAATAATTCTACATGGAATAAAGGGGGCATGTCACAACGGAGAGGAGGCACCTGGCCTTCTCGAAGATCCCATGCCCACAGGCGCTTCAGCACCGGCAGAAGGGACAGCAGTGAGTCGTCCAGTGGTAGTTCCAGTGAGAGTGAGGGTGACTAGTCCCCAGGAATTTGGACTGGTCCTCTGCTCCTGTGTTGGAGGAAGCGAGGAGGCAGTGGGAACTGAGCAAGCTCACAAACCTGTTCCCCTTCCAGACACTGTGACATTTTAACGGTTATAAGAAGAATAACTATCTACTCAAAGTTCTGATGCTCTTTTTAAATAAAAGTTTTCCTTAAGAATGTTATCTCTCTAGTAGATAATATTTGGGTAAGCGACACCTTGAAATGGTCTATGAACATCATGTGTGCCTTGATGCATTGTTTCCTTCTCAGAATGAAAATAAATGTGCTTTTTATGAGGTCCTCTGTAGTTAAATGATCTCTTGGAGGCTGCAGGGCTAGTGGAAGAATGAAAAGGCAACAAGATTAATCAGCCTCCAGCAGAGAGGTAAGGTGTGTGGAAGGAACTCCCCTGACAAAGCCAGAAACACTTTCCTGGTCTCACTCTGCTCTGGTGGGCATCCAATTCCCAGAGCAGTCATGCCCTTCCCTAGGCTGTGCATTTATGGTGCCCTATGCTTATCTCTGAAGCGAATCTCATAGTGACCACTTTTGCTGGTTCTGTCTTCCTCTAGAGAGGAAAATAGGATGGAGGAAATTTCATGGGAGATGGGAAAAAGCAACAACAACAACAAAAACCAACCAAACAAACAGAAACAAAACAAATAAACAAAACAAAACAAAACACAAAACCGAGAGGGCCAGAGGAGGATCTGGTTCACCAGATACCATACATTGACTACTCCCAAAACATTCCCAGCTCTGTCTTTCTCCCTCTCTTGAGCATACATGGCTTCCTGGCCAAGATGGTCTTATAGTGCAGGTCTGGAGAGGAGACCTACATCTCCTAGTGAGGAAAGCTCTTGTCCCCTGGCAAGAAACATGTGCCCAGCTGCTGCTGTTTCTATTTTCTCAGGCCTTCTCCTTGGCTTAGCAAGAACACACTGTCTGGATGTGCAGGAGCCAGTGTGTGGCCATTAGGGGAAGGCAGAATATGCAGAGAAAGGCCACAGAGTCAGTACCATCAACCTTCTGCTTCAAGCATCCCTATCTGCCAGAACACTAGCTCTCCGTACGTCGGGTGTCAGCGTACTGCTGTTACCAATGCCATGCCTGCTCTGAGTTCATTACCAATACACTTTTCCTTTCCCAACGCCTTCCAACATGACAAATATCCAGGGGAGGAAAGGAATGGAAGCTACAAAAGGAAATGTGGGCATCATTTCTCCCATGCCCTGTAAGGCTTTCAAACAGCAGACAACCTGACTGGTGTGCTCTTTGTTGAATATGTGTTTTGGTTCCTGGCACTCTTGTTTTTTAAATGAAAAATTAATTTTGGCCAAAAAATCACATTGAAAGCAATTAAGTAGAGAAATTATAACTGAAATTAAACTATAAATAGAAAATTTGAAACCAACCCAGTAGCTTTTACACAGGAATGGCCTGAGCACATGAAAACTCTTTGAGATGGTGAGAGAAAACCATAAGTAGATAAGGAAGCAAATGCACTCTTAGGTCTTTACATGTGGGGACTCCAAAGGCCACTGTCTTGTCTGTTATCAAGGGGGCACTCAGTTCCCTTGTTAGGTTGTTGCTTGTCTCCATGTTTGAGCACTTGTGGACAGCCCTTCAAGACACTGGTGAGGGATATCTGTATCTATATCATAACTATGTCTATATCGTGTCTATCTATATCTATCTATACCTATATCTGTATCATATCTGTCTATATGTATATCATGTCTATATCAATATCACATCTACCTAAATCATATCATATCTGTCTATCTCTATCTGTATCATATCAATCTGTCTTTCTACCAATATCATCTCTATCTCTATCTATGTCATGTCATTCTGTATCATATCTATCTATATCTGTATCAATATCTATATATGTCTATATCTATACCAATATAATATCTATCTATATCATATTTGTCTATCTCTACCTCTATCTATATCATGTCTATATCAATATCATGTCTATATATATCATGTCTATCTATTCTGTATCAATATCATATTTATCTACATCTTATCTATCTCTATCTATATCATATCTATCTGTATCTACATCAATATCATATATATCTCTATATCTATATCATACCTATCTAGATCTATCTGCTAAAGGAGGAAGGCTTCACCTTGACAACGTGCTGTCACAAATGCTCATACGGAAGCGGTGGCACAGACCCAGAACGAGGAAGCTCACAAGACCTTCTGCAGTCAGTCAGGCTGTGCTTTATCTCCCCTCCTGTTTCAGCTGGACCATCTTCATTTAAACATAAACAAACATTGGTTTCCAAAACAGACAATTTCAGCCTCCCCTAGCTGCCTTCGGAGAAATGAGAAAAGTAGATGCAGTCTGCCACCTTGTGTCCAGAAAGAAAAAATGTCCATTACTAGTGCTGGGAGAAGTGGGTTTGTCATTGATTTGCCTGATTGCAGTGCACTCCTTGTAAGCCACTTGCCTAGGTTTCTCTGTAAATATCTGTTTTCCATTTGCTGCACAGTACTCCAGTCAATCAGGGCAGACTACCCAATCCTGTTCAGCTTCTTAAACTTGAACAAAACTGAACACACTTTACAAAATTCTGGGAAGCTCAAAAGGGAAGAGATGCTCCTGGGCATTATGGAATGGATAATGTAACAAAGGAGAAAGGTGATGAAGAATAAGGCAGGAGATGGGCAGGGTGGCAGCTGGGATAGCTTGGGTATTCACCTTAGGAACAAGTGAGTAGTGTCATGTGAAGCCCCAGAACTCATTGGTCAACTATTGAGTACTGGTGTGCTCCAGGTTCAGCGGCAGACTTTTTGTAAAAAACTAGCAAGTGGAGAACAACTGAGAGAGATACTCAAACTGATTCTCTAGCCTACTCACACACACCCATGTGCATGTATACTCTCACCAATATGTGCATACACTTCACAATTTGGAGCTGTGCACTCGTGAGTGTGATAGTGTGCACATTCTCTCTCTCTCTCTCTCTCTCTCTCTCTCTCTCTCTCTCACACACACACACACACACACACCACAAAGGATAAGGCAGAGGTCTTTAAGACCTACAGATAAATAAAATTGATGACCTTAAATGGTACAACATGTATTTTAGAGTTTAGGAAAGATCCCTCAGTCAGAGGACTAGGAAGCCACAAGGCACAATAGGGAGCAGGGGACTCAAGAGAGTAGGATGGAGGAAGACTCACTCTAGACACCTGGACAAAGTGGGCCAAGAAGAAAGAACTCTGGGAAGGTGCCACTCAGTGGACAGTGACTTAAAGTTTGTGGGGTAGTTTGTTATACCTCTCCCATGCTTAGAAACACTGCTGTTGCTATATTTGAATTTTTACAGATTATGTTATGTTATTAATGGACTAGTAAGTGAAGTTAAATTGTTTCAATTTAGGGCTTTTTTGTTTTGTTTTGTTTGTTTGTTCATGCTTAGGACAATGAGGCAGAGGGAATCTGCAAGCTGTGGCAGGTATGTCTATTAAACCGAGCAGTCATTTTGGCAGTCAATTCTGATGGGAAGTGGTCTGTCACAACTCTTGGAATAACATTCATGATAGAAGGTCATGAATAGGAAATCTACACTTTCATTTATAACAGGTCCCCAAATGACTATGTGGTAATGTTGGAAGTATATGCATGCCTTTCTTAGTTCACAAAGTTTTTATTTTTGATTAATTATTCATTAGTAAACCAAGTGTTATAAGCATCCTTGGCTAGGCATATTTGTATGTAATGGTAAGGTAAATTATCAGTACTGTCAAGGTGGGAATTCAATATTAAATACTGGAAACAGCATGGTGGGGACATAATTCAGTGACAGAGTGCTTTCCTTGCAGGTCTACAGCCCTGGATATGGTCCCTAGCATCACAAGAAGTCAGAAAATCTTATATGACAGTTGCCTGGTATGAAGTTATAACAGTAAGTTGTACAGATACAAGTCCAGATCTTGGGGCAATTGTGTGTATACAGATGACCCCCCAATTTATGATGATTTGACAAACTTTTTAAACCACTCTGCAGTAACATGAACTCAAATTGCATTTCATAGAAATAACACTTAGACTTTGATCATGATCTTTTCATTCTCAAAGATGCCAAGCAGTAGCAGAAGGCTGGTGGGCTATTGTGGGGATGAGAACAGTCTACAGTGCAGTGTGTCATCAGTATCTTTCAGACACAGAAGCTCAATAGTTAACTGCATAAGATATTCCACACTTAACTGTAGAATAGGCTTTAGGCTTTGACCAACCACAGGCTACTGTAAGTATTTAGGAAAGTGCAACTATGATGTACATTCCGTAATTTAAATGTATCCTGATTCATGATATTTTGGCTCTCAGTATAAGCCCATCGTCACTCATGAACCATTTGTATTGCTCCCTGCCTCTTACTCGGGCCCCAAATATTGGTGATCAACTTGGTCCAGATGAATCACCCAGAGCTTTTTAGTTAAAAACAAGACAAATACAGAAACCCTCTGAACTCCCTTGAGAAGCTTCTGATCTTTTGTCCTGGGAATTTATAGGACGATGTCCAGGTGGTGGCAGTGTGCAGGCTGGCTTGAAAACAGCTGTCATATTGGAGCCTCTAAAATTGACAAGCAAGAAACAGCCACTAAGTGGCAAATTCACTCACTTCTTAAGTATTTTGAAACCAGCTGAGTTTTATTCTCATTCACAGTTAAAAGATTTGGAATATTGTCTCACTATAGAATATTATTTTTAAAAATGCAAACACAATGTCACACAACACACACTCATCCCCAGAGTAGCAATTGTCCCTGACTCAGCAGCCCTTGACTGCCTGCAGCTCTTCCTCTAAAAGTGGGGTCCCACAATCGCCCCCACCTTTGTCGGCATGTCAACTAGGGTTGTCATCGTTCATGTCTTGGTTAGGCTACCACACTGTTGTGACTTCATCGATGGAGCTTCCCTGTCATGTCCTCCTTCACAATCTTCTCTGAGCCTTATGTGGAAAG